TTTGTTTCTACTATACATTAACCACAAAAGAACTAACTCTAAAGAAAAAAGAAAAAAAAAGGCAATTATGTGACAAATGACTTAGAACCATGAAATAGATGCTGATTACAAATATAGGCTGTAAGCATTCTGAAATGAGGCAGTTCTAAATTTTCAAAGAACAAAGAAAAAGAAAAAGGATTTTTTTTCAATATCAAAAGGACTTTCCGGTTCTAATTAATAAATTGATAAGCCTTTTTAAAGGTAAAAGTGAATTTCTAAAGCCTGAGGCATTCGTGGGATTCTAGAATACTATAAATTGTGGAGACATGAGAAGCAAGTTAACATCACTCTCCCAAGGTCACAAAACAAGTGTAAGGCTGTCAGGATTTGAATCGGAGCTCCTGACTCCCTTCGTCAGGTCCTTCCCCCTCGTTCTTCAGTAAAAACTGCTTTCACAAATGGGCAAGAATCCTCAGGATTATACTGACAAATACCCAGCAGTGGTTGTTGTGGAGGTGGCAGCGAGTGATGGGGTTACATATGTGTGCTGGAAAGTTAAGGAGGAGTGAACAGTTCTAGGGCAACTCAAGGGCACGTCAGCCAAAGCTGAGATTCAGTGATGACTGAGTGTATCTAAGGGACAGGAATGGGCACCAAGATGCAGCAGGTATAGACAAGTCCATTAAATGTATCTGTAAATGAACTGGTACAGCAGCTGAGGAAGCAACAAGGTTACAGGATTTTTCAGGCTTCTTGAGAGGAATGAGGCCTCTTGAGAGCTCAGGTTGTGGAAACCCATCGATACCTGTTGATTGTCTTTTCCATGCAAGGCTCTCAGCTGTGACTGGTAACACAAAGGTAAGCAGGAAAGCGAGCCAAGTCCTTGCTCTATATCCTGTCTTTAAAGGTTTTTTTTAGTCATAAGAGAGCTGCCTGGCAGAATAAGACAATTCACCAACTCCTGCCCTATCTGTCCTAGAGGGTGGTGCAGGCTGTAAGAACCCTGGTTATCTCTTCCAGAGAAGGTCATGTTATTAAAAGGTCCTTGGGTAGCCATCTACTTTGTGGCCCACAACGCCACCGTGTGGTAGGCACCAGTTGACTGATGGTGCACGACATGCAGCGGACGCAGTAGTAGTCTTGAAGCCAACCTATCATTTCTGGTCCAGGAACTCGAAGTACTTTGAATGGATATTGTGCTGAACCAACATACAAAACAAGGCTGTTGAATCTTACGGTGCAACGGACTCTTAGTGATCAGCCACCATGCCCTGGTTCTCACCCATCTCCTCAGTGAGATCTCACTATGGTTAGAATCATGGAATCATTGGGCAGTGGCAGCTCCCACTCCTCAGACCACCCATTTGCACCATCCTGCTAGTGGGCTCTGTGAAATAAAGCTTCCTTGTCCACAAGAGCCTAACCGTGACCAGCTATTGGTAGTGGCAGGACCGTCCATATCATTATCTTTTCTTTGGATCAGGTCCTTCGACTCACCACCCTCTGACTTTTATTGTTGAGTCCTCTCTATGCCTTGGAAATATTTTTCTGTCTGCTTCTTGCTTAGGTTAGTTCTCTCCTGCCTTATCATTAAAGGAATGATGTATGAAGACACTCCGGGCACAGTAACTGACTCAGAAGTGGCCCAGTTTGGCTTATCTGATGGCACGTGCCTGCTCTGTGTAGACACGAGTGATACAGGGTCATCCACACATCCTCCTCTCACAGAACTTAGCAAATGTCAGTGCCTGGTGGCTGCATTTTCTAAAAAACTGTGCCTGTGTGATTACCCTCGCAGGGAGACAGGCTTTCACCATCCGTAACAGGGACAGCAGGCCTCTCTTCGAAGTCCAGGAGAGAGTGCAGGAGGAGCAGGCCCCAGGCCTGAGGAGGGCTGGGTGAATGCAGCCCCGGCCCAGCCCTCCAGGACCGTCCTCTGCTGGCCTCTGGACCCTCATCCTGTACTAAGCAAGTCACCCTGGACTGTTATCTGCAACCACCTCAATTAAAACTCCTTTGCTGCTTCCTGCTGAACTCCAGGCCCGGAGAGCACAGGGGGAGGAACCAGAGACCCAATGAGTTTGTTTTTAAATCCTCTCATGACTAAAAGATGTCCCTTCTTTACCTACAGAGCTTAAAGCATTAAGCCACCCCAAATCCAAGGCTATTCTTCCGTGGAAGCCCACTCCTGGGATGCAGTCATTTCCACTCCCCTCTGGCGGTACCTTGGTTCAGAGCAAACTTAAAAAGCAGAGGGTGAAGAGCCAGGCCAGGCCTCCGGAGGCCAAGCCCAGGTTCAGGTCCCCAGCTCCGGGGCAAGACTCCTGAGGGAGTCTGCAGCAGCTATTTAGCTTCCTGCTGCCCCTGGCACTGATTATCAGGACTGCAAGGATTTTCCCTCCCCGTTTCTGTCCAGCATAGTTTTCCCATGCACCTGGGCTCATCAAAGGGTCCCAGGAGACAGGAGCCTGGCGAGAGCTCCCAGCTCTGTTTCTCAGCCTGGAACTTGGAAAAGTTCCAAGTTCCCTGAACTGCCCCATCAGCCCCAGCCCATTGCCAGATCCTCACCGCCCTACAGGCCCGGGTGCTCCCCCGCCTTGGGGACGCTGGTGTTCTTGAGGGCAGAAACAGAGCCACCTGGCCACCTCAGTGCTGCCAGTGTGCCAGGCCCGGGACAAGAGAGCCTCTCTGCCCCAGCAGCTGGAGGCGGAGGGTCTCCAATGGATCAGGGCCCCCAGACAGGGACCCCACCCCATGATAAAGAGGGGTGGAGCCTTCCTCCAGTCATCATTCCCTCCCTCCTCCCACCACCACCACCATCTCCCCCGCCCCACCTCAGGTATTTTTAGATGTATAGGAGGAGGAAGGAGGGATTGCTGGGTTTAATCCCTTAGGAAACCCCAGAACTATGTGAATGGCTCCCAGGAGCCCGAGGAGGCTGGTTGTGCTGCTACACACACACACACACACACACACACACACACACACACACACACACGCAGCTCACTGGCCCTAGTCTAAAGGGACCTTTCTGGTTTCTATCTGTCTCACTCTGGTCCCTTGGGTGAGCTGGTCCCTTGGGTGAGTCCCAAGCTTGGTCAGATGTCAACTATCCTGTCACCACCACCCCTAAGCCTGCTGGCTTGTCCTGTGCATCTAGCTGTGAGGTCCAGGACCAAAGAACTCTTTCTCTCCTGATATCAGTCCTGATCCCTTGCTTTACTGAGATTCAGATTTCGGGGAATTTTTTAAGTCCTTTCTCCCACCCCAGTGTCAATCTGCCAAGCTCTGTATGTTGGGGCAGCCAAAGCAAAAGGTTGTGGGAACATGTGTTGGCGAGGATGTGGAGAAATTGGAAGCCCAAGATTGCTGGTGGGAGTAAAAAAAATGGTATATCTGCTATTTAAAAAAAAAAAAAAAAAAAAAAAAAAGGAAGGGGGATGGTGATTCCTCAAAAAATTACACACAGAATTACCATATGGTCCAGCAGTTCCATTTCTGGGTGTATACTCAAAAGAACTGAAAGCAGAAACTTCAATTTTGTACATACAAGTTTCTAACAGCATTATTCACAATAGCCCAAAAGTGAAAGCAACCCAAGCGCCCATCGACATATGAATGGATTAAAAATGTGGCCCATGCATATATACAATGGAATAGAATTTCCTTTAAAACAGAATGGAATTCTGATAGACGTTATAACATGAACCTTGAAAATATCATGCTAAGAGAAATAAGCCAGGCACAAAAGGACAAATATTACATGACGTCACCCGTACATCATAACGAGAAATGTCGCATTCATAGAGATATTCCAGAAAAGGCAATAGTGGTCACCAGGGCTGAGACGGGGTGCAGACAGAGAGGGGATGGGGAGTCAGTGCTTCATGGGAACGGAATTTCACTTTGGGAAGATGAAAAAGTTCTGGAGATGGTGGTGGTGGTGGTTGCACAACAATGTGAATATCCTTAATGCCACCGGATTGCACACTCAAAAATGGTTAAAATGGCAAGTGTTATGGTATGTGTATTTTATCCCAAATTTTAAAATGCTGAAAATTTCAGTGGGGCAGCGACCAGGACCTGGGCATGCTTATCTCTCCAGGAGTTCCTACTATCCACTGCAGGGGAGGGGAGAGCCTAGGATTTGGAATCAAAGATTCATTTACATTCCACACTCCCAAGCTCTGTGCCTCCAGGAAAGTCCTTAACTTGTCTGTAAGGGTGTGTGGGGGGGGGGGGGGATGAGTGTGGGAAAGGAAACTCTACAGAGCAGGGTCATTATGAGACACAACTTAGCAAAAGCATCTCTAGGCTCAGCCCGGGGCCTGGCAGTCAGTGTGTGTCCTCTGAGCATAGCCCAGCGTGAAATCTGGGGCTTAGAGCACTTGCTTTGCATCTCCCTTACCCGTGTATCCCTGGCGTGTGCAGAACTAGCTCTGAGGGTAGCTGTCTGTGATTGCCACCTCCACGAGCCTCGTTCCCCCCGTGTAAATGGGTCGCCCTCTTTGGCAGGGCTGTTGTGAGAACGTGGACTTGGCATGCACCCTGGTCTCCTTAGCGGGGAAGGCCAAACGCCCGAGACTCCATCCTCGGCTGACCAGAACCTGCCATGCGCGTGACCCTCACATCCCTCCCTGAGCTGGGCTGGACAGCGTTCAACATTCAATACAGCCAAGCGTTCTGGAGTGCCCGTCGTGTGCCAGGCTCTGTCCCAGCTCCAGAGGAGACTGAGAGTGGGTGGAGGACTAGATCCCTTAGCACTGGGGAAGCTGTCACCTCTGCGGTGCCACCTCTGCCACAGGGCACCCAAGATTTGGTGACACGGTGTCAGTCCCTGGCTCAGACACAGGACAGGGGAGGGGCTTTGGGACTTCTCTATTACAGACAGAGGAAGCTAACGGTACCTGACATGAGGGCAAGCCCCCACCACGCCCCTGGGGAAAGTGGGGGTCAGGAGGGGAGCGAGGAAAGTGTGTATCTAGTTCCACGATGTAGCAGCAACAAGCATGTTGGCCCTATTTGTTCCCTGGGCCCGACTCCCCAGTCACCCCCGGCTCTGGGCCCCGGACCAGGTGCCGGTAGGTCCTGGGACAGTGCTGACGGTAGAGGCGCTCCGCCAGCGTGTTGCTGCCCCGCACCACGCCCTTGCCCTCCCGGTTCATGTAGTTCCACAGGTGCAGCGCGTAGGAGCCGTTGAAGCTCGGCTCCTCCGGGGCCCACACCTCGTAGTAGCGCCTCCACTCGGGGAAGGGGATGGGGTAGAACCTCCGGGGGTGCAGGAAGGACACGTCCACACACCGGAGGTCGCCCAGCTCCCGCCGGAAGTCCGCGAGCCTGCACCACACCCTGAGCATCCTGGTCATGAGGTCCGGGCCCTGGCGGCCCCAGACCCCGGAGTCGTAGTGCTCCACGAAGTTCTCCATGCACCGCCACAGGAAGGCGTGGCGCGCGCCGAAGCCGAACGCCCCGTTGCTGGAGTACCGGGAGGCCTGCGCCGCCAGGAAGTTCCCCGCGGGGACCGGCCTGATGGAGATGATGTCCGTGTCCAGGTACACGCCCCCGAACTTCCAGATGACGGCCAGGCGGGCCCCGTCCGAGCTGACGTGCAGCCAGTGGCTCTCTGCGCTGGCGTTGACCTGCAGGAGCAGGTGCAATGAGCCCCAGCGGTGTGTGTGTGTGTGTGTGTGTGTGTGTGTGTGTGTGTATGTGTGCGGGGGGAGGGGGACGGGGGTTTGCAGCAAGAGACCAGGCAAAATTGGGCTTTTTGGCAAATAGATTGTTGGGAAGCTGGCCTGCTGGCCCTCCCCAGCTGCCCTGGCACCTTGGGTCATCCCGAATAGCTGGCCCCAGCTATCCTGAGGTGGTCTCACTGGGCCAGGACACCTCAGATACCAGGTCCTAAGTCCTGGGACCGATAGCTGTCTCCTCTCCCCCCACCAAGGGTCACTAGACACTAGCCCTGGTGTATGATTAGTTTGTGAAAAGTGAATGATGTAGCACCTTCCCAAACCATTTAAACTGAGGTTTCTCTTCCCACGGAGCAAAAAACGCAGCTTAGGTGGTGTTCCTTGTTGAGCCCAGGTGTGGGGAGGCGGGGGCCAGAGCCAGCAGGCTATCTGGTCTTGTACAGTCCTGGAGCGCCCCCTAGCGGGAGAGCACGGAGAGCCGCAGGGACCCAGCCTGCCACTGGCCAGGGCCGCGCTAGTCGTCACCTATTTGTTAGAAACCCTGTGCTGGCGACTGCAGATAACAGCTCAGTCTGGTGGGTCTCTCCACCTCCTGCTCACGGCTCCAATTTGAAATTTCCTGGCTCTTCAGGGGAAGAGATGGGAGCCCTGGGATCTATTAGTAAAGTCACATGGGGCAATCCCCTTTACCCCTTCCTCCCCCCTACACACACACACACACACACACACACACACACACACACACACGCACGCACGCGCGCGCACACACACACACACACACACACACACTCACTCACTCAGGCCTGTCACTTAGTCTACAAAACCTCTCCAGCTGACAACAACTAGGGGCAGGTGTGTCCCTCACCCAGGAAAGCCCCAGAGGGATGAGGCAGGTGGCACAGTTTTCCTCTTGTAAATAAGTACTGTCATGGGTTGAATAATGGCCACACGAAGATACCAGGTCCTAAGCCCTGGGACCTATAGCTGTTTCCTCCTGGAGAAAGGGGTCTTTGCAGATGTGCTACATTGGGGGTGCTAAGATGGAGAGATTGTCTTGGAATGCCCTGATGGGCCCTAAATGCAATTGTCAGTGTCCTTTATAGTCAAGTTGATGGAGAGTTCACACACACACACACACACACACACACACACAGGAAAGGGGATGTGAAGACGGAGGTAGAGGCTGGAGTGACCAGCTCCACGGGAAGGAGTGTTTTCTAGAGCCCCCCACACCCTTGGGGGAATGGGCCCAGTGATAATGGTTTGGGATCTCTGGCCTCCACAACTGGAGGCAATCCATTTCCAATCCCTTAGTCACCAAGTTTGTGGCATTTTATCACACAGCCGTAGGAAATCAACACAAGCACCTTCATAAATGGCCTCAATCCTGCCTCTTGACCTGCAAAATCTAAAGTATTGCCTTTCTGGCCCTTTAAGGAGAAAATACTTTCTAACATTTGGTCTAGCCCCATGGTCGGCAAACTCATTAGTCAGCAGAGCCAAATATCAACAGTACAATCATTGAAATTTCTTTTGAGAGCCAAATTTTTTTCAACTTAAACTTCTTCTAACGCCACTTCTTCAAAATAGATTTGCCCAGGCCGTGGTATTTTGTGGAAGAGCCACACTTGAGGGGCCAGAGAGCCGCCGTTTGCTGACCACGGGTCTAGCCTATGATTATAGATTAGATAGGACTTCATATAGTAAGCAAATGTTATTATTTTAGGTCATATTTTAGTAACTTTTCAAAAAATAATTTTATAAAATTAACATTTTCATCACTGAATTCACTCCCAATTCATACTAAAACACCTACTATTACTGTGTGTGTGTTTGTTTGTTTTTTCTTCAGGTCTTTTTCTTCCAAATAGATTGGGGAAGGGGAGTTGCATAGCTAAAATAATCTTATGTTATAATGCAAGAGTATTTAATTTTATGTTGTAGCCTTCATAAGGTGGCACCATTTAAAACTCCATAATGGAATCATTGAATGATTCCAGGTTCTCATGAGAGAAATACTTAATTGAAATATTATTTCCTTATTTTGTTATTTTACTAAGATGAAGATTATAAACTTCTGAGATTTCCAGGAGTTTCTTGATCATTCTATATAATAAAAGCCTAATATGGAAATCAATCGAACAGTGGAATGACTGGTCACTATGATGCACACTGACCACCTGGGGGCAGATGCTCAATGCAGGAGCTGCCTCCAGCCAGGCCCCAGGCCAGCCAAGGCAGGTGCTAGTGGGGGCCCCAATCACCACGCCGATTGCTCCACAGAGAGAGGCAACAAGCAGAGGTGGCAGGGGGCAGGGCCAGCTAGCGGGCAGCACCAGGCTGGCCAAGGTGTTACCAGCAGAGGCCCCCTGACCGCCCCGCTGGTCACCTCACAGATCAGCCCTGATTGCCAGCCAGGCCTAGGAATCCCACCCATGCACAAATTTCATGCATTGGGCCTCTAAAATCTTATCATAACCCAATGTTATACAGAGTACCCCAAATTAAATTGAATTTTCTATTTACCTAATTTTCAAGTGAAATCTTGCCTAGTTTCCTCTGAATGTGCAAAAATAGTTTAACATGGATGGGTTTAAAACTGGCAGGGAAAAATAAGGAGTATAAACAGCTAGAAAAAAAATACAGAAACTCATTCGATCAAGAATGGAACCTAGATACTAAGATACACAGCTAGAAGCAAAAGGCAGCAGGAACAGGTAAGTAACTTGTGGTCTCTCTCTCCCAATTACTTGAATCAGAGCTCAATCCAGGCAAGAGTTAAAGGATCCACCCGACTGGTGTGGCTCAGTGGTTGAACATCGACCCATGAACCAGGAGGTCACAGTTCCACTCCAGTCAGAGAACATGCCTGGGTTGTGGGCTCAGTCCCCAGTAGGAGGCATGCAGGATGCAGCCGATCAATAATCCTCTCTCATCATTCTCTCTCTCTCTCTCTCTCTCTCTCTCTCTCTCTCTCTTTCTCTCTCTCTCTCTCCCTCTCCCTCTTCTTCTCTCTAAAAATCAATGAAAACATATATTTTAAAAATAATAAAAGAGTTAAAGGCTCTAGGTTCTAGTCCTGTCTCTCATACTGAGTCCTTACCCTCAGTTTACCCTTCTATAGAATGAGTAGGTTGTCTGTGGTCCCTCCCAACACGGGCATTCTAAGATTCTCCGAACACTTACTTGAGTGTACCATGAAGACAGTGGTGTGTCTTCAAACAGGCTTTTCATATCCAAAGGGACGAGGAAAACATTGTCTATTGCCGAGAGGAGGGAAAAGGCTGGGTACGTGGAGTTTGGGGGCAGCGGCGTGGGACTGCTGAGACCCTTCATGAAAAACACCACCGGCTGCTCAGGGTAAACCCTGGCGGCAGACTCCACAGCGCAGGAGACCAGCGGGGACGGCTCCATCCTCTCAGAGGTCTCTAGGAACACGATGCTGCGTCCCTTGCCCAGCAGGGCTTCCAGCCCCTGCTGGGACTTGTCGGGGGGCAGGCAGGAGAAGAGGCAGCTGGACTTCCGGGTGAGCTGGAAGAGGAAGCCACAGGAGAGCAGCAGCATGACCAACAGGGAGAGCTGGAGCTCCCTCAGCATGTCCACTTCTCCCTTCTGGCCGCTCCTGTAGGTCAACACAGTTCATTAAAAGCCACATCCACAAAAACGGACAAACATAGCACCCACAAAAGCAATAAAAGAGTATCACTTCTAAGCTTAGATTTTTTTTTTTAAATCCCACATGAAATATAAGCAAATCAAGTCATGCAGTATTCAAAAGAAAATTGCATTAACTGGAGTTTAATTGAGGAATTTAGGGTGATTCAAAATAGGGGGGGAAATCCTTCATTAACAGAAAACTATTAATCACAGGTACTAGCTTATAGATTAAAGAAGAAAAGCTGCATGATCATTTTGGTGAATAGATGCCAAGAACAGGATACGATTCTGTTCAACAGAAGGTGGGAGGCAGCAGATCAATGATCCTCTTCTAAGTCTAAGCAAGGCAATAAAACAAGAGAAAAGAATGTCTGCTATGAATTGTAGAAAGGATGAGGCAAAGACATCACTAGTTATAGAAAATATAATTAATTGCCCACCTAAAAAATTCAAGAAAATTTACTAAGAAACTAATAGAACTAAGAAGAAAATTAACCAGGGAAGCAAACTGAAGTCTAGAGTTAAAGAACTTGCCAAGATCACACAGCTAGCAGAGCCTCTAATTTGGGCTTGACTATCCCTGTAGAACCCCCTTCTCCATAAACATTAGCTCTAACTCCAGGAGAGCAGATCTCACTTTTTCAATGGTCTATTTCTCCCTTTACATATGACTCTTTTAGAAAATGCAAAGCCAATGGATCGGAGCTTACCTTCTAGCCTGGAATTAGTTAGCCACTGTCAAGTCTTGGCAATGACCACAAGCTTTTCCTGCTATACTTTTTGATAAATCACTACCTAATCTTCCAATTCAACAACCGAGGGAAGTAAACCATTGGCCAAAGATTAACACTAAACACAAGTTCTCAGAAAGCTCCTCCCTTTAGTAAGTTCCCCCAAACACAGAGACTTGGGGACAATAAAGGGTTCACACAATTTTTCAGGTGACCCACACACTAATCCTGCCTATTTGTGGATTTATCGGTCTGGGAGGTGTAGAGAGATAGGGGAGGTGTTTATAGGGTGACGGCTTCATCTGAAGAAAGCTGAAGACAGGCCTGAAGCTAAAAGATATTGCACCTGAGTAGGGTAGTTTCAATCCAGATCATGAGCAGAGACTTGGGAAAGTTTCATCACCAGACAACCCTGTAATTTGGTCCAAACCTTGCAAACACAGGTTTGAGTTGAAGAAAAGAAAGTCCATCACCATCAATAAGCAATGGACAACCCCGATAATCCAAGGTCCTGATGATTGGAACCAGAGTTTATAAGCCACAGTTACAGTGGCTTCAGGAAGGATCCTTTGCCCTGAGGTCCCCCTTGTGAGGTATAGCTTCCTCCAAGTCTCACAAGGTCAAGTTCATCACCCTCTGCTGATGTGTCACCCACCTCTCCGAAGAGTCACTCTCCTGTAGTCTGTGCCCCAAAGCTCAGTGAAACCATCCTCACTCAGAGCCTTCTCTCAGCCATGAACAACTACCCACAGTTCCCCTTGGATGCTCTGGTGTAATCTGGGGTGTCCCCTCCTGAGCAGACATTGGATCTGGACATAGCAGGTCCTGCATCAAGGGAGGTAAAGCTCTCCACTCATCAATAGCTTCTTGTTGTTTAGCACTTTTCAGGAACAGCTCTCCGAGTCTGTATACACATCTTTTGCCTTTGAAGCTGAATTTCTTCTCTGGACCTCATCACGTCTAGGCTCAGGGTAACTTGGCATCTTTCCAAAGTCCCCTTAGCATTGGATGGATGGGTTGTTTTTTCTTCTGGAGGGTGGGGGAGGGGAGAGCCAAGCTCCTGCTTTCCCTCTGGCATAACTAGAGGGATCCCTTTGTAGAGTGACACATGCCTAGCACCTGCATTTCTGGTGGGTCAGGTATTCAGTGCCTCCCAACCATCTGCACAATGGCCAACACCAGTGGTTGACAAACTGTGACTCGCGAGCCACCTGTGGCCCTTTGGCCCCTTGAGTTTTTAGCAAAGGCCAGCTTAGGGGTACCCTAATTAAGTTAACAACAATGTACCTACCTATATAGTTTAAATTTAAAAAATTAGGTTCTCAAAAGAAATTTCAACCATTGTCCTGTTGATATTTGGCTCTGTTGATTCATGAGTTTGCCGACCCCTGGCCAAGACCATTGAAGAAGTGGTGAAGACAGAGGTCAGTCAAGTAGTTGGTGGTCTTTGTCACCGGGGTGAAGGCGAGCACTAGCGATACAGTGAAATCCTAAACACGGAAAGTAGGACCTATCTGACCAAGAACCAAGCAGATGGAAAGAAGACTAAGCTTAGAATCATGCCTCCACCCACCACAGGCTGAGGGCCCCAGGGCAAGTCCCAAAACTGCTCTGAGCCTCGGCTCCTTTGTTCGTGTGAGAAATAATGGACTGCAGGCACGTTGTGAGGGTGAAGGACTCTGTAAACTGAAGAAGCAACTCTCACTTTTAAAAAATATATGTTTTTATTAATTTTAGAGAGGAAGGGAGAGGGATAGCTAGAAAGATCAATGATGAGAGAGAATTATTGATCAACTGCCTCCTGCATGCCCCACACTGGGGATCGAGCCCACAACTCGGGTATGTGCCTTGGCTGGGAATAGAAACTTGACCTCCTGATTTATAGGTCGACATTCAACCACGGAGCCACACCAGCCAGACCACCAACTCTCACTTTCCATCAGGAAATCAGGAGAAAATGAAACACTATTGCTGTAGATGGTATTTGACTCCCTGATGACAAACATTAAGTTGTTGTTGTTTTCAGATGAGTGAAAACCATTTCCCTGAAAACCTTTAAGAGGGAATCCTGAGCCCTGTGTGGGAGTTGATGAGAGCTGCACAGAAGCCAGCAGTCGGGGGCCTTTTGGGGATCACAGCCTGATGTCCTTCCTGAGTGTTTCTGAAGGATCTGCTGTCACCTGAGCCACTCTGCCAGGAACACCCAGGGCCCCCAGATCATCTCTTCAGCCTTCCCTCTGATGGGAACAGAACTGCCTTCCCTTCCTTCTGCTCCCCTTCCTGCCTTATCTGGCCTGTATCACATGGACTTTCTGTCAGTCTGGGCAGATGCCACAGCAGCAGCTCCTAACCTGGACTCCATAGGTCCCTAGAGACTCCCAGGACGGGCTTTGGGGACCCTGGGGCCATACCTGCACCAGTCCCTTTGCCCTGAGTGCCACCGATGCACAGCTCCTACGTAGTACCTGCCTAAGGAATGTCCCTGCTCTTTGATGCTCCATGACATGAACTCTGTTCAGAATTCCTCCAAATGTCTTCCCCTACAATGATAGGCTTGTTCTGACCAGCCAAGCAACCCCAGGGAGAGGTATCTGAGAGGTGTGCAATGGGTGGGTCTGGACACGCTAGTGTAAGCCACGTATGTATCCGATGTTGTCTACTTTCCCAAAAGTTTTGGCCTCCTATGAGAGTTCCTGCTTCCTCCAGTCTAATGTGAGCCAGGCTTGGTCAGTACAATGGACTACGGAGCCTGGGTTAATTGCTACTGACAGACAAGACCTTAGGAATGGTGGAGTGATGTAGCCCCAAATAAATGGACAGAATGAGGGCAAAACCTCTGAATCCAGTGAGTTGTTTTTTTTTTGTTTTTTTTTTACATTCAATTATCCCAGTATTTTCTTTATTTTACAAAACTCTTTTTTGGATGTTCGGAGCTAGTCTGAGGAAAAGTTGGTACATAGAGGAAAACCTTGGAATCAGAGCTGAGATTTTCCAACCCTCCAGCCCTATGGATAACCTCTGATAAACTCAATTGGGGAAACTTCAGTGTTTGGGCCCACACTCCCTCTGCTATAAAGGACTCACTGTATCAAGAAGGAAGTTAAAGGAATTTTAACACGAACTGTTTGTTAACTGAATTACACTTGAAAAGCGCACCTCTTAATTCTGTAGCTTCTTTGAACTCTGGTTTATCCTAAGAGGGAAATATTCGAGCCAACAATACTTGCCTTATTTACTTTGGAACCCTTGGAACCACAATTCCGGTTTTTAACATATTTGTTAAGCAAGTGGAACTGATAAACTTGTTAAAGCATTCCGCTATTAACAGTGCAAAACCAATACAGAGTGATATCTTATCAACATGGTCAATTTCTGCCTTGGCCGGGTAGCTCAAGGTTAAAGCATCCTTCTGATATACCAAGGTTGTAGGTTTAATCCCCGGTCAGGACACATACAAGAATCCACCAACGAATGCATAAGTAAAACAACAAATAGATGTTTCTTTCTCCCCGACCCCCTTCCTCTTTCTCTCTAATCAATGAAATTTTTAAAATTAAACAAAAGACTCGATTCCTGGTCGGGGTGCATGCCTGGGTTGTGGGCTCCATCCCCAGTGGGGGAGGATGGGGAGGTGGGAGGCAGCCAATCTATGGTTCTCTCTCATCATTGATGTTTCTCTCTCTCTCCCTCTCCCTTCCTCTCTGAAATCAATAAAGGTATATTTAAAATAAAATAAAATAAAATAAAATAAAATAAAATAAAATAAAATAAAATAAAATAAAATAAAATAAAACAAAACAATCGCCAATTCCTTTCATCACTGTTCTGAAGCTGGAAGGAAGACTGGAGACCTGGGTTCTGTCCACTGTGGAGTGAGAGAGAATCCACAGCCTCACACTTGGGAACCCCTGTGAGAATAACTGAGGGTTATGGACAAGTGACATTATCAACACTAAATCCTGAAAAACAAATTTTTTAATTGAAAATCTGTGAATTCAAGCCAGCATAAAATCCCCCGGTCCCATGACAATATTTGGTTCTAGCCTCGCATTTCTGACAATAGTGCTTTTGTTCTCCACTCTGCCTTACCCGTCAAACATGCTCCTGTGTACAAAACCTTGCTTAGCGATCAGGAAGGTATTGCTGGGTTTGTTCTGGAAATTATTGTGCTCACACGTGTCATTTTCCCCGTTTTTAAGTTTACTTGCA